AAGAAGAGGGGGGGCGGGGTGGGGAAGAGTGAGCTGATACAGTCTGATGAACTTGACCTATATCTATGGAGTAGCAACTCAAAAGAGGGAACAAACCCTCACAGCAAGAAACATTCCACCCACACACACAGAGAGACAGCTTGGACATTGGATACTCAAATGCGGAGGGGGAGACTACAAAGGCAAGAAGTTACTGGCTTACAAGCTTTCAAGAGGGAATCTGGTGCTAGGGAGCATGGCAGAAGGCAGAAACTTCAGAAGGTACTATTCGATCTGTCTGGGCGGAGCTGATGAAAGGAGATACAGATGGGTAACTCGTGATACTGTAGTGAATAATGCTTATCAGGACGGATTATGAGGGTTGGAAATGCAAAGGTAGTAGTTTTGTAACAAGGAAGGGAGTAATTGATTCTCCAGGATAGGAGTGGAGGCCTCTGGGACCATCATTGGAGAAGAGCTGAGAGCGGGACCCTACCCAGAAAAACAGAGATGCCTGAGACGGAGACAGAGATGATGACGTGGAGTGATGAAGCGAATGGGGACTTTGGACCCAGAGAGGGAAAGGGACTGTGGGCTGAAAACTGGGGGGAGGAGGGGGAAGTGTAGGGAGTGGGTTTCTGGAATATACCCTTTGGGTGGTTGAGGATGCATGGAGGGGATTGGAACCATGGCAGTGAGATGATATACGATGGAATGAATATAAAACTAAAGTTCTCTCATGTAAACTATCATATAATTCACAATAAAACATTAAAAAAAAAAAAAAATGGCATGAAGGCCATGACTGACTTCCCCTTCCTTCACAAGGGAGAAGGAGAAGCAAACTCAAAATCAGCCCAACATCGATTTCTATGAAGCCGAGGTCAGACATACCTTCACCCTACAACCTTCTTTACCCTCTTCTGACACCAAAGGTCCCTCCCACAGCACCCTGACTTCTCTGCTGGGTTCCAAAATCCAAGGCCACACAGAGCTGAAGGATAATACTCACAATTATGGGGTGTATTAGGGAAATGAACAGAGAACAATTCAGCATCAGAAAGAAATCAGGACGCAGCAGTTCTCCAGTTAGGAACTCCTCTTCTCTGCCGCACTGAAGGCCTGCCTTGCTCTTGTCTTTGGCTTCTCAGTCACGTGGCCCCATGGCCTCTGCCCTACACCCGGGCAAGTGTTATAAAGCTCCTTTGTTGTTGTCATTAAGTACCACCAAGTTGGTTCCGACCCATAATGACCCTGTATAGGGTTTCTGAAAAGTGGCTAGTGAGCTTGAACCACCTACCTTGCAGTTCAAACCGACTTTGCAGTCCAACGCATTAACCCACAGCGCCACACCAGGACTCATAAAGCTCCTTTAGCCTGTCAGTAACTGCCCAGAGGGTGTATTTTGCAAACCAGCCTCCTGTGTGTAGGCATTCAGCTTTACTGGGTCTGTGGACTGGGAAGCCCGCAGCTGCTCTACCTTTCTTTGCCAATGCCTCTACCACTGCTACTTTTCAAGCTTCGCTCACAGCTCTTCTTTCTTGAAGGTCCTGGAATCTTTGCCTGCTTCTGAGATAGCTCCTTGGAAGCCTGGCAGAGCAGCAAAACTAACCAATTCCAGCGTTAGGGTTCTATTTGCGTGGTTCCATACAATCATTCGGCAGGAGTAAGGAATCCTTGTGTGGCACTGTAGGATAAGTACTGAACCACAAGGTCAGTTTGAACTCCTCAGAAACGCTATATAGGGTCACTGTGAGTCAAAACCAACCATCAGTACTTAACAACAACAATAACAGCAACAAGACTTTGGATACAAAAGCCATATCAAGTAAATTCACCACAATAATGGAAAATAATCTAATTCTAAAATTACATTCTTCGTTATTAACCTTTTAGTATCTTTTATTGAAGTTGTGGGCCTAATTAACATTAACCTATCTTTTGAACTTTCTTTTGGACCATGCCAAACTATAAATTTTCTGAATTTATCATAAGCATGTGTCAAATTTTAAATTGCTAGCAAGGGAATCAACCAAGTAACATTTTTTGAGAAGTGTATAGGTTCAGAGAGCATATGAAAATGCAGAAGTTACATATTAAGAAATAAAATACTTGCATAAATAACTGGAATTTCTGTTGTTGCTCTTGGGTTTTAAGTAAGGTTTGTAGTTACTTTCCTTTCTGAAAGTCATGGAAACATGGACTCCATATTCCTATTTTAAAGAAGATCTGTGGCTAGATGGTTCAAGATGCCAATATGCCAACTATCAGATCAGTCCTACGAAAGAGAGGAGGGAGAAATACCTGGAAGAAGGTGATAAGGAGACATTGATGTCTGAAATAGGAAAAATGCGGCTTTGTATCCATTTAGTGTCTGACAGGAGAGCTAGCACGGTGTCTCCATACAATAAGCTTGGACTATGATCCACAAGGTCCAAGGTTCAAGCCCACCAGCTGCTCTGGGAAAAAAGACGAGATTTTCTGCTCCCTAGAAGATTTAAAGCCCGAGAAGCTATAACTCAACAGCGTTTCACAACAGGATAACTAATTCAGCACCAAGCAAACACAAAAGAATCCCAGAACCACTGCCGTGAAGTTGATTCTGACTCATGGTGATCTATGTGTCAGCTAGAACTGCTCCTGGCTGCGGTCTTTACAGAAGCAGATCACCAGGCCTTTCTTCACAGTGCTGCTGAGTGGATCTCAACCGTCAAACCTTTGGTTGTTGTTGTTCAGTGCTTCCAATGAATAACGACCCTGTATGGGTTTCCAAGGAGTGGCTGGTGAGCTTGAACCGCCAACCTTGTGGTTCAAACCAACCTTGCAGTCCAGTGCATTAACCCACAGCGCCACACCAGGACTCCATGCAGCATCATAGTAACATGCAATGCGCCACTTACAGAAGAAGATGGTAGCTGCATATGAGGCACATTGGCCAGAGTCAAGCCCTGTTCTCCTGCATGAGAGGTAGGAATTCTACCAGTAAATCACCGATGTCTCATACTTTACATGGGTTGTTGTTCTTACTTGCTGTTGCGTTGCCTCTGAATCCTGGTGACTTGATGTGTAATAAAGCTAATCATTGCCTGACCGTGTGCCATCCCCATGATTATTGGCTTGTCTAAGTTCATTGTTGCTACTGTTGTGTCTATTCATCTCATTGAAGGTTTTCCTCATTTGTACTGACCCTCTATTTTACCAAATAGGATGGTTTTTCCTGATGACGTGTTCAAAGTCAACTTACACTCACGCAATAAGGTAGATAACTCAGCCTCTTGTTGTTATTGCTGTTGTTAAGTGCCATCGACTCATAGCGACCCTGTATAGGGTTTCCAAGGAGCAGCTGATGGGTTTGAATTGCGATCACTGACCTTAATGTTAGCAGTCCATTGTGTATCCTCTAGTGCTACACCAGGAGTCCATCCAGACTCTTACTGCTATGTAATTTTAAGACATATTATTTTTTTAATTTAATTTGTCAAAGTCTTAGTTTCCTCATCTGTAAAATGGGAATATATATCATATAGCTTTTGTGAGCATCTAGTGCAGCGCTGTCCAATAGAAATATAACACAAACCTCAATGTCATTTTGAAAATTAGCAGGAAATTTCCTTTTTTACATATTTTTTTTCATTGTCAAAGTTATTTAATGATCTTATTTGTATTATTTCTTTTTTGGGGGGAAGGGTGTACACCAAAACACTCTGGAATATATAATCATTTAAACAGCTAAAGGGCACACTCTGCAAGCCTGCCTTTCTGTTTCCCTGAGTTTAGAGTCCTCACCTGCTCTCTCTCTTTCCATGCTCTGCCTCCATCCATCTCTGGTGTCACTGCTTCTCTCCGTAGAGTTCCACATTTTGCTCATGCTCGTCTCCCTTAATAGTCCTAGGGTCCTCTGTTCCTGGAATGTAAGATGAACTATTCCCACTTCATGTTACAAAACTTCTATCTTTACAGTTGTGACAATCACAATTAGTGAGGATACCAACTACACACTATTGAATCATAAGAATCTTATCTCCATCTCCTTTTACCAGACCTGTCTAGACAAGACGAAAATCATTCAGTGGGGATTCTACCTTCCCCCACATACTCTGAAACTAAACTCCCCCTTGAAAACTTGTAAGTCACTTCGTGCCTTTCTATATAGACCATCTCCCATTTAGGTAGCAAATATCTAAGTTGCCCATCCCTATCACCCCTGCATACAGAGGGAGTAGGATGAAGACTTCTTCCCTCTCCGTTGGTATTTTGAACTACTAGATGTTCCACGGGAGAAAGATGAGGCTTTTTGCTCCCGTAAAGATTTACAGCCTCAGAAACACTGTCATTATGAGTCGGAACCAACTCATGGCACATAACTACCACCAACTACCACCATCACATTCACAAATATAGGTCAAATTCATCAAATTGTAGCAATTTACACTTGTTTCCTTTATTAAAATTTTTTTATCTTCTTTTATTGGAGTTGTGATCTTTAAGTCATGGAAGCTAGGTCAAATGGGTACTATCTGCAAGTTTAGGCATTCTTGTGCATCTCCCCTCACTTCATGTCAGCTGGATGGTCCACTCTCAGCTCTAGCTCTCTATGGCTATGTCCATGGGCTCAGGAGACCCAGGTCTCATAAATGTATTTTTTAACCCCAAAAGATCCAAAATACTATCATTTTCACATATAATCAGCATAAAAATTATTGGAATATTTTATATTCTTGCTTTAGTACTAAGTCTTTGAATGTAGGGTGTATTTTACACTGACAGCCCCTCTCCATCCCAACTAACTACATTTTAAGAGTTCAACAGCCACACGTAGTTACTATATTGGACCATAGAAGTCTGGACAGTTGAGCCAACCCAACTTGTTGCTGGAAGCGTAGGGCGGTTCTTAGCCAGATGAAGGCGGGGCTTCTCCGAGAGTGGTTTTTGGGCTCCTTCGGCTGCCGTAGGAGAGTGCTGCGGGGGCAGCGCCACGTCGCCGGCGGCAGGAGTAGACCTGAGTGTGGCTCTGGGTGGCCATGGCCTTTACGCTGTACTCGCTGCTGCAGGCGGCCCTGCTCTGTGTCAATGCCATCGCCGTGCTGCACGAGGAGCGCTTCCTCAAGAACAGTGAGTGGGGCAAAGGCCCAGCCGGGGCGAACCCGAGTCCGGGCGCGGACCCGAGCTGGTACTAGTGCAGGGACAGCCCGGGCCCGGGACACACACGAGCAGCCGAGGGCTCGACGCTGGGCGAGGAGCAGGGCCCTTCCTTACATGGGGAACGGAGCCACCTTTATGTTGATTATTATCAGCTCAACAGAGGGTGATGTGCTCAAGAGACGCCTGCTGTATGCCGGGCCTTGGGGACTGGGCTTCGGTGGGATACGGAGAGGACCCAGGGGTGCCCCGCTGTTAGCTAAGAGCTGTAATTTCATGTCACTTCTCTAAAATCACTTTTAATGATAGAAAAGCTGAGTGAGTTTTGAGTCAGTGCTTGGTGGGGGGCGTGGCTCACCTGGGTATCAGGGTAGTTAGAATGAACCGAGGGACAGTAATAGGGGAACCTGGGCTTTGGGATAAGAAAAGCGACAGTGTTGGAGTTAGTTATCAAGACATTCAGCCATCCTTGTTACAAGAAAAGTATTCAGCACACACTTATTGGAGCTTTTCTAGAATCTAGTAATACAAAGATGTAAATGCAAACCCACCCGGATCTCACAATCCAGCCATCTTCAAACTTTCCTAAGTAGGTTTCTTGCTGTCTGATAACCATTTGTAATAGTGTGCCAAGAAAGTCCCTTCGAATGCCAAAACAAACCTGTGAAGGAGATTGATGCATTTCATTTATTCTTTATTGAACATAAATTACAGGTGAGGCCTATGTAAGAGGAACTGAAGTTCAGCAGTTAGACTGCCCTTTTAATAGGAGCTAATCTAAACTAAATAAATAATGATTGCTTTAAAAAATTACACAAGGTCAATGCAGGGAGATACTCAGCTATACCTAACTGAAGGTGAAGGGTTGGGGGATGAAGAGAGCGGTAGGCAGCATAGAGTTACAAGAATTCTAGGGCAGTTGAAAGCAGGATTTTAAGCAATGAAGAGATCTGATTTGTGTTATGTGCCAGATCCTCTGGCTACAGTGTGAAAACAGATTGGGAGAATAAAGGAGTGGATGTGGAAAGATCTATCGGTCTGTGGTGCTTAATGGCCAGGATATGTTCTGTGAAATAGGACATTATTTGATTTGAAGATTGTGTAAACACATGTGTTCTTGTGACTTGGGTAGCTTCCGACAGGGACACCTCAGGTGAGCCTTGACTGGGTCCTACTCAGTTGTTGTCACCTGTCTGCTAAGCCAGCTGCAGGGAAGGGCTAGCTTGTCCATGAGAAAGTGCCCAGAGAGGGGACCTGTGCCAGAGGCAGAGCTGGGTGTATCCCTTTCCATCAGTGCCCTGTGAGACCATACAAGGTGGCGCCGTAGAATAAGCACTAGACCTCAAGGTTGGTGGTCTGAACCCTACACAGGGTCGCTATGAATCAGAACTTAACAACAGACCCAAGTCTCAGGAGCTGAGGTGAGTTGGGAATTTGGGGTCTGGGTCTCTACCACGACAGGCAAGGGGACTTTTTGACTCTGTGTAGCAGCCAGGAGAAGTGGGGCTCCAACCTCAGAAACCTGGGAGCTCCGGCCCAGGGACACATATGCTGTTGGACAGTACCCAAATGGATGTTAAGCGACACATCTATATTCTAATTAGTCCAACTAGAGATGTTGGTACACAGTGGATATAATACAAGGGGGGTTCAAAAAGATCCTGTAAAAATTCCATAATCCTTTTGCTCCATTCTTCCATGAACTTTTTTAAGCCCCTCATAATAACAGCTATTACAGGGTCGCTATGGGTCAGAATTGACTCCACGGCACTTAACAACAACAAGAATAGCAGCTAACCCTTAGGTGGCACTTCATATGTGAGAAGATCTGTATCAAGTGTTTTATGTATAGTAATTTGTGTCATCATCACCGCAACTCTGAGATAGGTACTGTTTTCATCCCCACTTTACAGATAGGGAAACTGAGGCACAGAGTAATCTTGAGATTACACAGCTAGAAAGTGATGGAGCTAGAATTCAAATATAGGTAGTCCAACTCTAGAGCCCATCTTTTCAACAACAGAGTAGGTGAGAACACAGGATATTTTAGACATACTAGATTTAAAGATAGAAATAGGTTAGCAGTAAGAGAATGCAAAAAGATATATCATGAAAATGGCAACCACAGGAGAGCTGAAGTGGCTCTACTTATCTCAGGTAAAATAGACCTTAAACCTAAAGATGTTATTGTTAAGTGCCGTTGAGTCAATTGCGACCCATAGCGACCCTGTATAGGGTTTCCAAGGAGCAGCTGGTAAGCTTGAACCACCGACCTTGCAGTTCAAACAACTTTGCAGTCTGGTGCATTAACACACAGTGCCACACCAGGACTGTTACTGGGAATAAAAAGACAATTTATAATAAAAGGGTCTGTTTATCAGGAATTAATGTAAGTATGTAAGATTGCTATGAGTCAGAATCGACTCCTTGGCAGTGGATTTGGTATACACCTGCCAACAGAGTGCCAGAATACATGAAGCAGAAACTGACCGAATTGGAGGGAGAAGTAGGCAATTCAGCAATAATAGTTGGAGACCTCACTATCTTAATTTCAATAATGGATAGAATAACCTGGCAGATCGACAGAGAAATAAAAGACTTTAGCAACACTAAACATTTTAGCAAACCAACTAAGCCTAGTAAACATCTGTGAAACACTCCACCCAACAACAGCAGAATCCATATTCTGTTCAAGCTCCTGTGGAGCATCCGCTAGGATAGACCATATCTAGAGCATGAAAGAAGCCTTAATAAATAGAAAAGGGTTAGAATTATAGTACGTTCCCTGACTACCGTAGCATGAAATAACAAAGGAAATTGGTAAATTTACAATTATGTGGAAAATAATTAACACACTCCTGTGGTGGCGCTGTTGGATAAGTAATGGACTGCTAACCATAAGGTTGGTGGTTCGAATCCACCAGCTGCTCCTTGGGAACCCTATATAACATAGGTGGGGAATCTTTTTTCTGCCAAGGCCATTTGGATATTTATAGCATACAAAATTATCAACGTAAACATTAGCCTGCTGTAATGTGATGACTGGAGCTGCGATTGCAGAACTGCAGGGTCGCTCTGAGTCCGAACCTACTTGACAGCAACAACAAATAACCAGTGGATCAAAGAAGCAATCACAAGGAAACTAGAAAGTACTTAGACATGAATGAAAACTATCAGTACAGTGCTTAGAGAGAAATTGTAGCTATGAACTATATTAATACTATAGTATTAATCAATAACTGAAATCAATAACCTAACCTAAACTGAAATCAATAACCTAATCTGGAAAAAGATGAGTAAATTAAATGCAAAGCAAGCAAAAGGAAAAAATGATAGACTATAGTAGAAATTAATGAAGTGTGGTAGAAAAATAATAGAATTGATGAAATCAAGTTTTTTGTTTTTGTTTTTGTTTTTTTAAATATCAACAACACTAACAAATCTTTAGCTAGACTAACCAAGAAAAAAGAAAAGACTTAAATTCCTCAAGTTAGGAATAGGAGGGAGCATCACGACTGAGCTTACAAAAAATGAAGTGGATGTAAAACTAAAGTTCGCTCATGTAGACTATCATAGTTCACAATAAAACATTAAAAAAATATATAGGCAGACCAACTGATTACTACAAAAACAAACAAGTGGCTCGCCCAGGGAGACATCAAGGCAAGTGGTCGGGTCTCCCTCAGGGCAAACCCCCTTCTAAGACTAAGACTCAATGGGAATACACACTCTAATTGGTGACCATGTTCTTCACTGAAAGGGGAAGTGAGGGAAAAACAGCAATGAATCTGCGAGCTAAGCCCTACAACGCTCAATAGGCTCTTGTGAACCTGGGCGGAGACCTGGTCGACCAGCAGTGTGGCAAAACCTGGCGATTCTTGGGCCCAGAGTTAGTGACATAGCCACAGAGAACTAGAATGGAGAGTGAAGCGTCCAGCTGATAAGAAGAGAGGGCACATGCATAAGAACACCACACTTGCAGATATTACCCACTTGACCTGGCTTCAATGACTGGATGATCAGAGCTCAACCAGAACAAGAAAGAAGAGGGAAAAAAAAGTGATCTGATACAATTTGATGAACTTGACATAAACCTATAGAAGCAGTAGCTCAAAAGAGGGAACAGACCTTCACTGCGAGGATCATTCCCACCCGCTCTGCACACGGAGAGGACAGAGATGGGCAACTTGGACATTGGCTACCCAGAATGGGGGGGATACAGAGCCAAGAAGTGACTGGCTTACAAGCTTTCAAGAGGGAACCTAGATCCAGAGGGCGTGGAAGATGGTAGACTCTCCACTGAGTAGTATCCATTCTGTCTAGTAGGGGCTGATGAAAGGAGATGAGGATAGGTCTCTTGTGATACAATAGTGAATAATTGTTATCAGGACTGATTGT